AGCAGCCCCAGCAGCAGCAGCCACTGGAGCAGCAGCCCCAGCAGCAGCAGCACCTGGAGCAGCCGCCCCAGCAGCAGCAGCCCCTGGAGCAGCCGCCCCAGCAGCAGCCGCCCCAGCAGCAGCAGCCCCGGGAGCAGCCGCCCCAGCAGCAGCCCCTGGAGCAGCAGCCCCAGCAGCAGCAGCAGCAGCCAATGGAGCAGCCGCCCCAGCAGCAGCAGCACCTGGAGCAGCCGCCCCAGCAGCAGCAGCCCCGGCAGCAGTCGCCCAAGCAGCAGCCCCTGGAGCAGCCGCCCCAGCAGCAGCAGCCCCGGGAGCAGCCGCCCCAGCAACAGCAGCCCCTGGAGCCGCCGCTACTGGAGCAGCAGCCCCAGCAGCAGCAGCCACTAGAGCAGCAGCCCCAGCAGCAGCAGCAGCACCTGGAGCAGCCGCCCCAGCAGCAGCAGCCCCTGGAGCAGCCGCCCCAGCAGCAGCAGCCCCGGGAGCAGCCGCCCCAGCAGCAGCCCCTGGAGCAGCAGCCCCAGCAGCAGCAGCAGCCACTGGAGCAGCCGCCCCAGCAGCAGCAGCACCTGGAGCAGCCGCCCCAGCAGCAGCAGCCCCGGCAGCAGTCGCCCAAGCAGCAGCCCCTGGAGCAGCCGCCCCAGCAGTTGCAGCCCCTGGAGCAGCCGCCCCAGCAGCAGCAGTCCCTGGAGCAACCGCCGCTGCAGCAGCCGCCCCCGGCCCCTACAGCAGCCACTCCTGGACCCGGTGCAGCCGTGGGGGGGTGGGTGTGGGGGTGATGGTTGTGGGGGTGTCGTTTGTGCGTGCCGTCCCCTCCTCCTCCTCCTCCTTCGTCTCCCACTGCTGCAGCTATCGCTGAGGGGGGTGGATGTGTGGGAGTCCTGGGTTTAGGGTTTAAGAGGGTGCTGTGGGTGTAGGGCTAGGGTTTGAGCAGGGGGTGTGTGAGAGGGGTGTTGGGCAGCTGGGGGAGGTTGAGTGGAGGCAGCAGTCTTGTCGTCAGCAGAAGCAGTAGTCTGGAGGCTACAATCTCCGGTAGTCGCCAGTCGCCCGTGGGTCCGTTGCTCGTCTGCCGCTACTTTTAGCCGCGGGGCCAGTTACTCCAGTAGTCCGGAGCGCTGTTCCGGTAGCCACTGAGCCAGCAGCTCGTCTGTGTGTTTGCAACGTCAGCAGTCGCCTCTCATCTTCTCTCCCCCACAGTCTCTCCTCCTCCTCACTTGCACTCTGTGATTAGCTCTAGCCTTACTTACCTATTGTGAACTCTTGCTCTATGTCTGCATGCTGTACTGATTATACCCCACTTTGACTATGGGGGTGTGTCAGATTATAATGCATGTCTAGTCTGTAGTGGGGTACTCAAAAGTGAGTATAACCCTTTTAGGGCTTACTACTTGTATCCCCCTCCTTTCTAGTTTCAACATTCTCCTTCCTAAACTCTCTCAACATTTTACTTACCGTAATCACCCGGACAAAACACCCCCCCGTAATAGTACACCCCCGGGTAGCTTGTGCGGGGGGGGTGCTATAGCCGACCTCGTTTGTACTATACCCCCCCTTTTGGGGTGATTCTCTATAACACCCCCCTTTTCTTACGAAACCCTATTATAGCTGTTATCGAGTCAGATTTTTTACGGGAGGATATGACGAAAATCGCTTCCTGAATGAAATTTCGTGTGCACTTTCACTTCGAATCTACCGAGATTCCCTCCCTTCCACAATCTCGTTGTCGCCACGCTGGCGAATCTTCCGCTGCACGTAGCCCGAGAGGTGAAACTCACATTCTCGCCAAAACTCGAATTCTCGCCTCAACCTGTGATGTTAAAACGACTATTGAAACACCCAAATCGTCTAATTATTTTTTTTTCTTACACTAAAAAGTGCCATATATAACCACCCGGGTATTATATTGGATTTTCCGTTGAGAGGACCCCCCCCCCCCTTTTTTCCCTGTGGTTATCATAATACCCCCGGGTGTTATGTTCGGGTGATTACGGTACACCCTAAAACCTCGAACTTCACCAACTCATTCCTAAACTACTATGGCTCCTAAGCACAAGCCTCGCTAGTATCTCAACACTTTTATCCGGGGTGATACGGTAAATGAACTCTCTGTTGCTGCTGATGCTAGCTAGCTTGCTTGCTTGCTAGTAGCTAATGTTATCTTTTAAGGGACCTTCAATATCGTAACAGCCTTAGCAAAAGGGGAACACTGATGCATCAGACTTTTTGTAAAGGAACACTGAAGTTTCAGGGTTTTCTTTTTTGGGGGGACACTGTCGATCAAGGATTTTACATAGAGGGGCCCTGATGCATTAACGTGCCTAAAAGTGAATCATAGGCCCTAGCCCCACGCCTGCTGTGGGTGGCTCGGGAGAGGTGTGCCGAGGATGATGCAGTGGAGAGGCAGAGGAGGCGAGAGTAGTATGGTAAGGAAGATAGACAAAAGGTGGTAAGCTAATTCTTCTAAAAATGGCTAAATCAAGAATGCATTTGTAATTCTGTTCTCCACCTTCTACCGTACCTGCTAACCTAAACATGGTACGGTACGGTAGTAGAATCACTCTTGACAATGACACATACTCAGACAATCAAATCCAAGTCCGTTACAACCACACTAGCTAACATTCCTTCCAATCATCGAATCAAACTCGCTTCACTATCACATTCGCTTGCATCAGCGCTTGACGCATCCTGCTTGACAACTTGTCTTCCTCCACCTTCAACCAGCATAGCCGGGGAAAGCTCTCAAAAACCCCATCGACTCCAGCCACAGTAACCCTCGTACACTCCACGAGAGCAAGTCGTTCGAGCGTTTCAATATGGCAGCTGTGAATAACGGTGTCTGGCACGTCCTCGTTTTGAGATATACCCAATCAGGGCTGACGATATCAGGGTAATTACCCTGATTTCAGGGTGATTACAGGCTTCTGACTTGGTGGTCCCTACAAACACATGTTTTGTATTTTGTGAACTCTGATCCAATCAGACAAGCTACTTAACGGACTCTGAATTTTTGTTACTAGGCTCAGAGTAGTGTACTTGCGGACTCTGTCTATGCAGGGTATGCGTTCCGTGGACCCTGAATGCGAGGGTATTGGGACGAAGTTTCTCTGAAATTTCCTCTCGATAACCTCGCCTTCGGATTGATCGCATCGCAGCACCCCCCATGTGCGGAATCCCCCTTCCACCACTGTATCGAAACGAAACTTCTCGGAAATTTCGTCTTAATACACCCACCCACCATCGAGATCGGCCGAATCTGCAATGCCAGATATATGTTGCTGTGATTGGTCGAAATGGTTGTGCTCTGACAGCGGCTGTTGTGCCAGGGCCATTTCTCTGTGATTGGGCGAATCTGTTGCTCTGTACTGTACGGCGCGAATGCACTTTGTCAACGCGAATTTGCTACAGTTTGACGCTGGTGCTGTGATGTGACCAGTCAACTCGGGTCCAAATCACCAGTCACATACAGTGCGCAATCAGAAATGTGAAGAACGAACGGTCGTCCAATTTGATTGGTCATCAAATCCACACAAGATCTAAATATCCGAACCATCAGGGCTGACGTTTCATATTAGGCCTCCCTGATTCCGGGGAAAATTTTTCCCCTCTATTATGAGTGCACATTTTTCAGAATAATGCTACTCTGATTGCTCAGGGTTGAAAAGTATATAACTCTGATTGTTCAGGGTCGAAAATCGAGGATCAGAGTAGTAACGCGCCCTTTGTTACAGGGGAAAAAGTTTCCCTCTGCGTAAAGTTTGCGCTCTGTGTTTCGCGCACACTTTGAGCGCGCTAAGTTCCACCCTTTTAGCATTACGAAACGGTATTTATGCACACGTTGTAGTGGGGGGAAGAGATGAGCGATTTCGCTCAACCAAACACTTCGATTCGATACCTGAATGTGGCCAACATCGCTGTGTGAAACGCAAAATAGGTTCTGGAAACTTTACGCACACGCACTTACGACAGTGGAACAACTTATTCGCATCTCGTGAAAATAACAAACATCGAGTGTACTTGCCTGCCATACATGCTGCTGTCCATCGCTCACGCGCTGGCTGTACTGCGATCAAGCCGAAGGGGGATATCGGAAGGAAATTTCCAAGAACCTTCTTCTCGATAAGGTCAGGGACCACTGATTCGATACCCTATTAAGTCAGGGTCCACTAACAGGCTAGTCTGTTACACTATACTCAAAATCAGGGATAGGAAAACTACTACTCTGATTTGAACAGGGTGAAGAACTCAGTAATTCTGAAATCTCAGTCTCCGCAAAGTGGAAAGTCTGAAATCACCCTGAAATCAGGGTAATTACCCTGATATCGTCAGCCCTGCGAACCATACCAAATTTCGATAATGCACAGCGCGTTACTAACCCTGATCCTGACTTCTCAACCAGGGCTGATTTTATCAGACTAAAATGGTCTGATTGTCTGATCTGACAGACTATTTTTCAATGGTTCCTGATTTTCCAGACTTGGTGATTTTCCAATAATGAGCACCTCAGAGTTGTGGTTTTCCGAATACTGAGAATTTCAGAGTATTGCCTATGCCAATAATGATCCCTCAGACTAAGTAGCGTACGGATCCTGGAAACCGGATATGTACGTACTAGGAAGCTTCCGCAACGTCACATGTTGTCGTGCCATCATGACAATCTCCTTGCTGTCACATGCGAAATCTGAACTTGGCAAATTTGCCACCCCTTGACCGACTCGGTGCCCCCTGTGCCACGCTGCACGTGGCAACCGTGATATCTCTGCAACGCTGTGTCAGCGGGAAAGCTGCACCGTGCCATCACTACGCGCTCTGTCCTGCACGGTACAGCACTGCAGAGGTGACGGGCATGGCGGCTCGAGACCAACGGCAACAGCCAGCCACCCATCAATTGGTTTGAGGACCACGGGGTCCTTCTTCTTCATAGCTCCCTTCACCACGCTGACTATGTTTCCTCGGCTGGCTCTCCCAGCAGTGTTCCAGTTAGTGCTCGAGTGACTCCTCCCATGACGGACCAAGAACGCGACCGGCCCGATTCACCTGATGCTGACCACCCTACTACCAAGGAGGGTGTGGGTAGGTCGGGGCTAGACTGCCTACGCCCCGCAGCAACGGCGGTCATACACGATACTGTTCCTGCCACCACGCCTGCCTCCCCTACGCCAACTCCAATAGTCTTAGCGCCCGCCATAGCGTCGTCTAGTAAGGGCCCCATCCCACTCACCGTGCGCACTGCATCTACCGTTCGGTACAGCGTGCCGTCAGTCACCAAATCAGTTGCGCAGAAGCGTAGTACCCAGAAATGGGTTCAGAGCACGATGGTTACTGGCGGTAGATTCCGCAAACCATCTCCACCCCCTTCAGCGCCGGCTGTGGCCACGCCCGACAAGCCACCTCCTCCTAAGTTGTCTAAGAAGGAGGAGATTGAGCAGAAGTGGCTTCTGGCTGAGGCGAATTACCACTCGAAGTGGCTTCCGTTTTTCCCATGGCTTCTGCTTGTGCGTGCCCAGGATGGGCATCCCTCGCTCAAGTGCTGCATCTGCCGTGCCTTTGGCGGCGCACCACGAGGATGAGGGGTTTTTTCAAGGGCTGAAGAATTTCATGGGTGTAGCTGAGTCCGCCAGGTATGTAATACGATGTGGCGGGGCTAGCTGTGTTTCTCTCACGCAATTGTGACATTCTGCTAACCGGTATGTTAATGCTCGTGTGTGATATTTTCAGGCGCTGGCCCAACATCATGCGGCTGTGGCAAGCCGCTGCCGTGATGCCGCTGTCAACCGTTGAATGCGAGCGTGGATTCTCACGCCAGAACGTCATCAAGACCTGGGTGAGAGGCTCTTTAGGCAACGCGCGCCTGGCGGAGCTGATGACGATTTCCCTACTTGACTACGAGATCGACTGGAACGCGGCCCTCGCCAAATGGCGTGAGGAGAAGCCAAGGCGCCCTGCCAAGACTCCAACCTTCGCTGCAGCAGAGAGGAAGCGCAAGGGGAAGGAGCTGGCGGACGACCAGGAACGTGAGAGGGTTGTGCGCGGGCTGGAGTGGGATCGTGATGAGTCGGATGCGGACGACGATGAGGAGGAGGCCTATGAGGAGGAGGAGGACCAGGAGCTGGACGACGACCCTTTCCGCGAGGAGGATGAGGAGGAGGAGGATGTGGAGGAGATAGGCATGGATCAGCCTGAGTGAGACCTAAGATTATTTGTAGCTGTAGGTAGGTAGGTAGGTGATTGCTGTAGGTAGGTGATAGCTGTAGGTAGGAGGAAGGAAGGATGCATCTGATCTGAGACTCAATGGATGATTGCCATGCCAGGACATTTTAACTTAGTTTTATTTAAGTCTGATTTTAGAATTTGAATAATGACCACCTCAGACTAAACCCTGAACCAATCCTGTGAAATCAGACTCAAGGAAGTTGGGGAAAATGTGCTTCAGACTAGACTGGAATTTTTTTTACATGCTCTCAGAGTAGGTTTTTTTGAAACGTCAGCTCTGTTCTCAACCCTGAGCAATCAGACTATAAAACTTCCCAACACTGAGCAATCAGGGTGATGTTTTTCTGAAAAATGTGCACCCGTAATACAGGGGGAAATGTTTTCCCGGATTCAGGGAGGCCTAATTTGAAACGTCAGCCCTGTACCCAATTCCTTCAAAACAAAACACGCCTGAAGCAAGGCCACCACACCTTCTTCCCCTAGAGCAGAGCTGTTGATAAGAGTCAGTTTCTTCAAATCCTTGAATGCAGCCTGCCACTGAATGCCGCCAAGCGCCTCATCAATGCTTGCCAACAAAGTTTTTGGAATAGGAAGGCCACTTCGGGCAGCACTGCTAAGAGCGGCGCGACGACAATAGAAAGCAAACCCCCGAAGCGTCAACGATTTGAGAGGAGGATGGATTAGCCCGGCAGACTGAGGATCATCCCTATCAAAGGCTTCTGTACCCATCCTCTTGGGAGAACCCTGGGGCCGAACTAGCATGTGAATCAGGCCTTCCAGCTTGCCTTGAAATGAGTGACGGATGAGCGTCTCCAAGCAGCTGAGATCTGTAAGAAGAATGCGTTGGCATGTGTCGAATGAGGCAAGGCTGAGAGTTTCCAGCTGCTTGCAGCAATCTAGCATGGCATTGACCGTTTTCCGAGTGGTCAGATTGAGTTGGAGCGAGAGCGAGCGGAGTGCCGGGTTAGAGCTAGCAATGGCCTGCACACCTTCGTCAGTAATGTTTCTGCATCCGACGACTGACAGGCCAGAGAGGGAGTGAAGGGACCTTGCCAAGCCCTCCAAATCAAGGTACATGATATCACAGGAATCGAAGGAGAGCGTGGTGAGGCTGGTAAAAGAGCTGAGGGTCACGAGAGAAGAGCTGACGCTTGAATACATTAACGTGAGCGACTGGAGTGAAGGAATGGAGGAGGATCCAGAGGTAAGAGTAAACAGTATGGGATCAGTGATATTTGAAATGGTCAAAGAGGTGAGAGAAGAGGAGTGACAGATGGGAAAGAAGTCCCGTGGGAAGCTTAAGATGATGAGGGTCAGAGACTGAAGAGCGGTGAAAGTTTCAAGAGCAGAAAATATTATGTGTGGTGTGTTGGAACCGCGAATCTCGAGGGACTTCAAGAACCTGCAAAATACAGCAATCATAAGCGTAAGGCAGGTAACGCACAAAAAACTTATTTAAAAGGCTCACCGGCTGTCTTGACCAAAGTGTTTCCACCCAGTCGTGGTGACACGGTCACACCCGAACGCAGAGAAACTTTCCAGTTTTGGGCATTTCAAGGCGACTGCGTCCAGGAGCTCATTGCCGAATCCATTTGGTCCGAGAAACCGGGTACATTCGGCAGTCTTACTCCGCATGCGTAGATTGTTGATGCACGGGAAGATGACGGCACAATCACTTAGGTCTGTCAGAAATTTATGGAAAGAGCCGTTAAAATCGAGGTAAAGCGAACGAGGACAGAGCTTGAGGAAGTCACACGAAACCGCGTGCAGGTGAGAGCCGCGTGACAGCGATCGTCTGGGTCATCGAGGAGAGAGAGGATAGTAAGTAGAGTGTCGTCCGGAAGTGAAAATATGTGAAGAGTATCTTGGTTCATTGTGTTACTGGCGTAATCACATATGCAGAACGCCCTTGTGGGAGCTTGAGAGGATCAGTTCGTGTGCACAAACCAGAAAGCTCCTAATTTAGGAAAGAAGCAGTCCTATTTAGCCTAAACGGTCCTATTTAGCCTGAACGGAAAGTATAATGACCAACCTAGATATCAGCACAGGAGCTGCTGGAGCGAAGTTCTGAGCTTCGTAGCAATCGAGCTTCGAATCTAGCGGCATTACGGAGTCACTCGATAATCCATTCGTCACTGGTTGGGTTGGGACACCCGCATGGCTGAAAGCCTTACACGTTTATCAAGATGCACTCATTATTGGTTTTCACTTACGGTACCACAATGTAGCACATGGTTGCCACAATGTAGCACACCACCCAGCCCAACAGCTGTGAATATACCGGTACTCTTTTGACACCCACAAACCCCTAGATTGCCTTTAAAAAAAAACAAGAGGCGACGAAATCGTCTTAGGGTTGCGAAGCAACACTTTTAACATGCGTTATAATTTTGAACGACTTTGATTACTTCGCCGTATTTAGATTAAAATTAATTGTGCGATTATCATGCTCTTCATGTTTTCGCCATATGTTTTTATACGTTTGAGGATATATAGCAAATTAATAATGATAATGGTGTATGATAATGATAATAAGTAGTAGCTGTGCTTGCAGAAGTTACATATTTAGTCTAGGTGGTTCTAGTGTGGTAAATTACAATCAACTATGTAAGACCACAAGGTTGTTTCTAAAAAGGGATTTATAAAAAGGCTAATCCAGGATCCGAACCTAGGAACTTGTAGATGCTCACGTAACTTCGACACAACTACGCTACACGACCGATAAATTTGTTCAAATTCAAATATTGATCACATAGTTTTGCGCGTGAGTTGGGTTAGGGTTTGGTTTCATTTCTTCCTCTTTCTTCCTCTCGTCGTTCTGTTTGGCTCCTGCTACTCACCCTCAGCCTACCAAGGTCAGAGACTAAAGCCGCCAGCTAGAACCTAGTTAGCAGATTAATGTCTCAGCCTAAACATCTACTTCTCATCTCGAAGTACTATTCAAGTCATTGATAAACCCGCATCAATTCTTTCTTGTTGATTATCTCGATTTGAAGCATTTTTCGACCTAGCAGGACGTCGTTTTCATTCATTTGTTCTTAAGGGCCGCAACTCATACTCCTACGTCGTTTTGAAAGATTGCAACCCATTCCGGCTTAAATGCTAATTAGTAAGGTCTCCATTTTTTTATCTAGTACATATGTTCATTTTGAAGCCATAATCGGTTGAAGTCTTTTGTAGCTGTTTGATTTGCTTCTATATCCCACCATCTGCTTCTAGGAACGGTCAAGCACATTGTTGTCTCACTCCCTCCTCTTATTAACGGTGAGTTTGTGTTTGACCATCATCTTGGGAAAGAGAGAGGGGGAGAGTATGTGAGAGCAGTAGAGTAGCGATAGAGAAAGCGAGAACGAAAGCGTGCTAGAGAACGAAAGAAAAGCTTCTGTTTGTTTGTTAGAATCTGCAGGGGCCTTGTAATCTTCATTTTGGTTTCATCTAAACTACCGTTTTTTTTTTAGTTCATGTAGTTTTCTCCCGTCCACTTTCTATGGCTCTTCCTTACCCTTTCTTTATAAGCAGCAGCAGGTTAGTATGTGGTTTGTAAGTCGTATGTACTTGATTCCAACTTTATTCACTGATGTTCAAGTGTGTATCTGCTGATTCTTACAAATTCGTTTTCTCGTTCGTTCTTTCTCGTTCTCACTCTCTTGTTCTCTCTCGTTCTCTCTCTCGCTCGTTCTCTCTCTCTCGTTCTCTTTCTCTCTCCTCTCTCTCGTTCTCTTTCTCTCTCTCTCTCTCTCTCTCTCTCTCTCTCTCTCTCTCTCTCTCTCTCTCTCTCTCTCTCTCTCTCTCTCGTTTTCTCGTTCTCTCTCTCTCTCTCTCTCTCTCTCTCTCTCTCTCTCTCTCTCTCTCTCTCTCTCTCTCTCTCTCTCTCTCTCTCTCTCTCTCGTTCTCTCTCTCTCTCTCGTTTTCTCTCTCTCGTTTGTCAGAACATTATAGCTTACTTATTTGTGTAGGCTATAGTGGGGTATCCCATAGGGGGTACAACCCAGCTAGGGTTTCCTATTTGTACTCACTTCGTTCATAGTTCACACATTCTCTCGTTCACTTCTTTACATGGAATCAGAGCAGGTTCCCCTGTGGGAACTGTGCTTCGGGCCCACCACCTAGAACTTTTTTTTCTGCCCTGGCGACCGCCCTAGTGCCCGCCCTAGCGCCCGCCCTAGCGCCCGCCCTTTCGAGCCGCCCGTTCGCGCCGCCCGTTAGCGCCGCCCGTTAGCGCCGCCCGTGCGGCTGCCCGTTCGCGCCGCCCTTTGCGCAGCCCGTAGCGCCGCCCGTGCGGCCGCCCGTTAGCGCCGCCCGTGCGGCCGCCCGTAGCGCCCCCCGTGAGCCGCCGCCCGTAGCGCCGCCCGTGAGCCGCCGCCCGTCGCCACCCTTTAGCGCCGCCCGTGAGCGCCGCCCGTGACGCAGCCCCCCGTGAACCGCCGCCCGTGACGCCGCCGCCCGTGACGCCGCCGCCCGTCCCGTCGCCCCCCCCCCCCGTGACGCCGCCGCCCGTCCCGCCGCCCGCCCGTCACGCCGCCCGCCCGTGAGCCGGCGCTGCCCGCGAACCGCCCACCTGTGGGCCTTCAGCCCGCCCGTGAGCTGCCGACGCCGCCCGTGAGCAGCCGACGCCGCCGCCGCCACCCGTGAGCCGCCGACGCCGCCGACGCCGCCCGTGAGCCGCCGACGCCGCTGCCGCTGCCGTCGCCCGTGAGCCGCCGACGCCGCCGCCGCCGCCCGTGAGCCGCCGACGCCGCCGCCGCCGCCCGTGAGCCGCCGACGCCGCCGCCGCCGCCCGTGAGCCGCCGTCGCCCGTGAGCCGCCGACGCCGCCGCCGCCGCCCGTGAGCCGCCCTGGCCGCCCGCCCAGCCGCCCGTGAGCTCCCCGCGCGCCGTCCCAGCCGCCCGTGAGCCGCCACCGAGCTGCCCCAGCCGCCCGTGCCGCCGCCCGATCCGCCTGAGCCGCCCGAGCCGCCCGGGCCGCCCGCGCCGC